TTGATGTCTGGCACAATGGATGAAAGTTTCAGTCGAAGATCTGGCTCAACATTCAGTTGGTTTCTGTACTTAGTTTTTAATCCCACGAGTGCAGAAAATCCAGTCTCACAGAGGTACGTCGTTTGGAAAGGCATCAGGAATCTCACAGCTCTGTTAGCCAGATCAGGGTACTCAGAAGCAACATGAAGCCAGAAGTTTGTCAGGTGCTTCTGTGAGAAGATCAGCTTCAGCGCGGTGTCACAAGAGAGATCCAGGAGATTGTCTTGCTCTTTTGCACTCAAAGCAGCGAGAGCCTCATCACTGTGGCTGGCGAATGGGTTTTCTATCCAGTTGTACTGCACATCTGGGATGGGGAAGTATGCGCGCAGCTGGGTCCTCAAACCTTGCAGGTGCTCTCTGACAGCGTTGCTCACGGTGATGGGAAGTGGACTCTGTTCCGTTGTCAGAAAATCAGCCATATTTTCAAACGAGTCATAGTTTGACTGCTCGACACGCTTAGCCCACAGCGCCAGCTTTCTTATGGTTGCTTCAACTTTATTCTGGACATTGAATATGTTCACTGTTATCCCTTGAAGACCGAGGTTGAGTCCATTTAAGTGGCTGAAATATCAGCCAGGTAACCCAACTTAGCCAACCACTCAAAATCCCTGAAGCGGTGTGCGAGTTCAAACGTTGTGTTGAGAAAAAACACATGCACTTCATCACGCAACTCAAACAGTCGCGTCAGGACTTTGCCTCGGGAGAGCCACCGCACTTCAGTGTGTAACAGTAGCTGGTGATGATCACTGCCCATCTCTCCACATAACACCGCAAATAAACGTGTTTGCAGTGGACGGCTCTTGATGAAGTTGACAGCTTTGACCGCCTCATCTAAAACCGTCTTCAGATCCGGGGGCATTTTCTTTGTAGCAAGTGCTTCACGGTGTATGCTGCAGTGGACAGATGTTGCCCGCGGAGCCAGCGCTTTCACACGTCGGACAACCCCGCTGTGCTGTCCCAGCATTGCACGGGCTCCGTCAGTGCTCAATCCAACACATTTGGACCAGTCAATCCCATTGGAAACAATAAAAGTGTTCACAGTGTGAATAATGGCCTCAGCAGTTGAACGGGTAGGCAGAGGTTTACAAAATAAAAACTCCTCTTTTATCTCGCCACCATTTTCGTATCGCACATAAGCAAGCAGGTTTGCCAGACTTGCGACGTCGGTTGACTCATCCAGTTGGAGCACGTAAAAGCGGCTCTCTTTTACGCTTTGGATCAGCTGCTCCAACACATTATCTGCCATTTCATCAATCCTTCGTTTGACCGTATTATCCGACAATGAAACGAGGTTGATAGGCTGCACTGCCTTCTCTCCCAACATCACCTGAACGATCTGTTTTGCAGCGGGAAGAATTAAATCCTCGCCGATGGTGTGTGGTTTTCCAGCTTTGGCAATGAGTTGGGAGACCCGAAAAGACGCTTCCACAGCATTTGTGTTCTCACAGCCCATATGCTCAATTACCTTCTTTTTGCTCTGATACTCCCTGAGCTTGTTCTGAAAAAAATCCCGCGGCTTGGTCGCATATTGTCCATGTTTTGTCTCGAGGTGACGGCGCAGTTTACATGGCTTCAAGGCTTCGTTTGACAAAGTCTCAAAGCACACGACACACAGCGGTAACGGCTCAGCTTCTGTGCCTGTCCAAAAAAATCCCAGTGCTAAGTACTCAGCACTGTACTTTCTTCGAACTCTTCTTTTTTGTTTGACGGCCAGGAGATCACCGGTCGATTCACTGACAGCCTCTGGTCTCTCTTTCCTTTTAATACTCCCTGTTGCTAGCCAGCTATCCATTTTAATACTCTGCTCTACTCTAACTTAATTACAGTTTACACAATCAGCATCAATCAAGTGCAGAGCTGTCCCGCCGGTCCCGCAGCAAAGTAGTCCGGCCGATTACAACAAATGTTCCTATCTCTCTGCTCGTCACATATCTAATATTTTAAGGAAAAATGCAATGATGAAAAGAATAATTACATTTTTTATATCATTTTAAATATTATTCTGTATATTTTTATCTGATTCTTTTCATCATTGCATTTTTCCTTAAAATATTAGATATGTGACGAGCNATGATTACATTTTTCCACAGGCCAACAACAGCGAAAACCAAGCATGCCCTGTTGTCGCAAGAAAAAAAGTGCACAAGGAAACATCCATTGAAACTCGGTTTGCTGCTCTGTGATGCTAGTTCAAGCCAGATACTTGGCATCTCATCTTGGGTGCAAGTTCATCAATGTTTGGGCTCAGGCTCTGAGCTGAGGAAACCCTCATTATTGAGTGAAGGTGGTGCGTGAAATATACCGGCGGGCCAGATCTAACAGTAATTAGAAATTATCCTGCGGGCCGAAATTAAATCCCCCAAGGGCCTGATTTGGCCCCCGGGCCTTGAGTTTGACACATGTGCTCTAGGCTGATACTGATTCCTTCTCCTTAAAAAATAAGCTCTTAAATGGATGGAGGCAATCTGTGTAACCTATATCTAAAAAAAACACATCATGCACCAACTGTGGAATACATCATCTTCTCCTCTTTAGGAAGAAATAGACACTC